TCTTCATTGGGATGGGAGGCACCGAGTGCTGTCTCCTGGCAGCCATGGCTTACGACCGCTATGCTGCCATCTCTAACCCATTACTCTACCCAACACTCATGTCTCCCACCATCTGTCTGGAGCTGGCCACAGCAGCCTGCGCAGGAGGTTTCCTCACCGGCTTGGTCCAAACCACCTCCATATTCCAGCTCCATTTCTGCGGGCCACGAATCCTTCACCACTTTTTCTGTGACCTGCCATCTTTACTGGACTTGTCTTGTTCCAGTCCCTTCCTCAGCCAAGTGGTAAACTTCCTCGTTGTATGTGCAGTTGGGGGGACATCGGCTCTTGTGGTCTTGGTTTCCTATGCCTACATCATCATGGCTGTCATGAAGATACATTCCACCCATGGACGGATGAAGGCTTTCAACACGTGTGTCTCTCATCTTAGCACAGTGATTCTCTTCTACGGCTCTGGTCTCTTCTCCTACCTCCATTCAGGTCCTGGCTATTCAAGAGACAAAGATAAGGTCGTGTCCCTGTTCTACGGAGCTGTGATTCCCATGCTGAACCCCATCATCTACAGTTTGAGAAACAAGGATATCCAAGATGCGCTGAAAAAACTCAAGGAAAACAAGAAACGGTGTCTTCTCTGTGTCTTATAGTCCCTTAAATTAAAAAGAAAACTCAAAACCTTACCATTTTCTTCAATGTATATAATAAGGGGCTTGGATAATCTGAGTAATAAATTGAAGAAGTTATTTCAAATAGGATTCCCTAGACCACATTTTCATTAGGCTTACCTGGGATTTACTTTCTTTATTTTGCTTTTCTTGGCCTGAACTGATTGTTTTTTGTTTTTGTTTTTGTTGCTGTTTTGCCAGTCCTGGGGCTTGAACTCAGGGCCTGGGCACTGTCCCTGAGCTTCTTTTTGCTCAAGGCTAGCACTCTAACATGTGAGCCACAGCACTACTTCTGGCTTTTTCTGTATACATGGTGCTGATGAATCGAACCCAGGGCTTCATACTTGCTGGGTAAGCACTCTACCATTGAGCCACATTCCCAGCCACTGCATTGGAAAGTAAATAACGCTTATTCACAGTACTCCTTAGTAGTAGTGCACTGGGTACTGGGTCCAAGTTACCACGTGTTAAGGTCATGTGAAACATGGTCCTGGAACCACCTTACTCATTGAAGAACCATTTAGGATTCAGCACAGCTCTTTCCAGTCCACTTCCTACCTGGGACACCATTTCTGTGACCATTGCCTTGGATTCCTACATTGCCAAGTGTTGTTAGTGACTAAGAATGCTTGGTCTGGATTAGAGTCCTTATAGTCCCCACTCAGATGAATTCAGCAATGGTTACTCAGAGGCAGAAGCACAACATGGTATCTGTAAACTGTATTGGAAAAGGCCCAAGAGCCACATCTGTGGGATCATCCATTCTATTGGGATCTGACATTAAGAGCTGAACCCAGAGGGGTTCAAAGCATGTCACAGCTATCGAAAAGCAGAAATGAGAGCAAGAGAGACTAAGGCTTTTAAGCAACAAAGACAGTTTTCATGAGGAAAATCCACCAAGTGACAAGATGTGACCACTTAGTTTAGGAATGGGGTCAAGGAAGAGAAATTTGCCCCTGGAAGTTCTGATTTCATATTTGCTTCCTCTTGGTCAAGTTTCTCGCTCTTGGCCTTGTATGGCTATTTGAGTCATTCTCGTCCTAAGTTGACTCGTACTTTATGATTTTAGGGCTTACATCCTATTGGTCCCCTGCATTTTGACCTCAGGCTTTCCTATGATTTTGAGTTCCCTTCTCCGTGTCCATACATTCTCTCAGAACGATACAGTTGGAGACAGAATAATGAAGCCATTTAGTTTGCAGTGGAATTGAATGTGGAAGATAAATTGCCATTGTTTCTATTTTAAAAGATACTTCTTGAGCAAAGGGCCAACATGTCTGAAGTCCTGTGGCTTGAATAAACATGTGCATAAAAGTGTGGAGAATGATGACAGCCGACCATAAATCATCTTGCAATCCATGTTGTTTGAGAGTTTCAGTCACCACAGAGGTTCCTGGCCAGGATGTACAGGGGCGGGTCTGTGCTGCAGACAAGCGATGCTTTTCTGAAGCCTTCTTCTATCCAGGCTAGCTGAAGTGTTGCAGCGACATGTTCCTGTAGAACCCTTTACTCCATCTAGCAGCATATCCAAGACTTGAGCTTTCTTGTTTACACACTTTCTTCCTGAGTTAACGTCTTTGTCCACACTCCTCTTTTTTTACCTGAAGCAGAGAACAGAGCTTAATAAGCATTTGTTTAATCGGTGAATGAATAAAGCGCAAGTTCACCTGATAGGTAATATGGACATTTGGTGTCAGAGGAAGGCAGGGAACACTTATTGATACTTATGATATTCCAGGCTTTGTGTAGAGCAGTTTTAACAAGTTGAATTTCAAAGCCAGCTGCTGGCAGCTCATGCCTGTCATCCTAACCACTCAAGAGGCTGAGATCTGAGGATTGTGGTTTGAAGTCAGCCTTAGCAGGAAAGTCAGCAGACCCTTATCTCCAATTAACCACCAAAAAGCCAAAAGTGGAGCCATGGCTCAAGTGGTAGAGCTCTAGTCTTGAGCAAAAAAGCTCAGGAGACAGCATCCAGGCTCTGAGTTCAAGCTCCAGAACTGATACCATAAAAAAGACTCAAACACCATAGATTAAGAAGTCTCCTTTAACGACATCTGTCAATTTAAGCCTCTTTCTGCACTCTATAAGACATAGTGATTGTTACATGCTGACATTTAAGTCCACTTTTTTTCTATAGCCACTAGAGAAAAAAAGTATAGAGATTACCGAAAATCTAAACATAGATCTATCTTATGATAGAGCAACTTCTTTGCTGGTCATGCATGCAAAGGAATTGAAACCCGACACTCCCATGTATGTTGCCGCCCTGTCTACAATAGCCAAGATACAGAACCGACCAAAGGGTCCATTGTTGGGTGAATGGTTGAAGGTGTACACACATAATAGAATAATATTCTCCCATGAAATACATATACATATACATGTATTAGACTATCAACTGTGCTCCATAGATATCTACAATTACTATATGCCAATTGAAAAATGATGGCAACTGAATAGCATGATCTGAAGACAAACCATCTGCTAGTTGTATGAAAAGCTCTAGTAATCATTAAATAATTTTCAAATCACCTAAAATTCAGTGAATTACTCTACAACCTCCTGTACAATGTCATCAATTGAGTTTTGTATTACTACTTGTCATGTATACCTATGAGCATATTTAACCAATAACATGTTCATAAAAATTCATATTTTTAAATAAACAATTTACCTGTTGTTCCTATTAGCAGTGACCTAAGTACTGACTAAGCATCTAGAGTACTGCTTCCCATAGCTCAGCACAGAATTTACACCAATGATTTCACAATGCACGCTCCATTTTATATCTTGCTTTGTTTGGATCCATGTGATTTCTTGAAGCCATTTTTGTATTAGCATACACATGCTCACTGTAGATTTCTTTCTTTTTTCTTTTTTGGTACATATACACAGTGGAATTTTATTCATCCTTTAGAAAAAGAAGATAACACATCATTTACTAAGAAATGGAAGCTCCTGGGGAAAAAATTGTTAAGTGAAGTAAGTCTAGCCCAGATAGACAGAGGTTGTACACTTTTTCTCATGTGTGGAAGCTAGAATTGGTTTATAAATATATAAGTAACTTGGGTAGTATGCAAGTGTACATAAATGTATTAATTGAAATACAGTGGATTTGGGGGAGAACTCAAACTGTAATTCCTTAGAAAGGCAAAGTCATGATTCAACTAAATAAATTCCAGAAAATGGGTATTTAAAAGGGGTGAAGTGAGTTGGAGGGGGTAACAAATGAAGAGAGGAGGGGTGATGCAGTGAAAAATTCAATAAGTACCCTACACATTTTTTTACGTGAAGGAAGGGGTGGCTTGGGAAGGTTGGCTGAGAATGTTGAAAAGGGTAACATGGATCAAGACACATTGTATTCATAAATTGCTTTGTGGAATGGCAATGACTTGGCACTTAAAGATAATTTAAAAATATTTTTAAGGACATGGTTCTCCCATCACAACTCTGGGAGGCAGGTCGAGAGAGGGCATAGAGCTTTTTGGTTCATCAGGTATATGTTCATTTCACCCCAAGATCATCCCTGGATTCTCTCACTCCAGAGACCATTTTCCCCCCTACTATCACCAGAGAATAGACCTGCTCATTGCAGATTTCTTAATTGTCTCATAAAATTTTATATAGCGAAACAACACGCCGGATGAGCAATGGGCGGTGAGAACCGAGTTGGTAGTTCTTAGAGAGTCCTTTAGGAAACGGCTCACGTTTATTCTCACTGTCAAGTATGGCCACTGCTGCCTGTAAGGAAGGGATCACGAGAAATCCCATCACCACCCTTCTGAAAGCACTGCAGGACACACGCTTGGAACATTTGAACCTCAGGTGTCAGTGATGATGGAGGAAGGCTGAAAGACGTCCATCTCCAGGACCGGACCCTGTGCTCCCCTGTGATGTAAAGAGCTGGCAGTCAGAGATGTGGTGATGGAGCAAGACACTGATTAATGTCCAAAGGGGCCTCCGTAAATTACACTCCTGCTCTCTCAGAGCTAAAAATGGTAAGGGACTAGACTCCCTCAGAAGCCTCCAGAAGGAAGAATGGTCAATCTCTACCCACTAGCACCCTAGGAGAGCAAATCTGTGGGCTTTGGGGGGAAGGGCACTGAATTTGTGGTCATCTGTTGCTGTAATGAAAGAGAATAAACACACAGAGAGACAAGGCTACCCCAATCCCTCCCAAGGGGCATCATGGAAAAAATCTTTAATTTCATTTCTTTATTATTACTTTTTTATTTTTTAATTTTATTTTTATTGTGAAAATACCATACAGAGGAGTTACAATTACATGGGCAAGATAATGAGTACATTTCTTACCAAGCATTGTTGCCTCCTCCTTTGTTTCCCCTTCCCATCCCTTCCCATCTGCCCCTACCCCCGAATTTCTTTATTATTTTTTTTAAATTTAAATTTTATTGTAAAGGTGGTGTACAGAGGGGTGACAGTTATGTAAGTAAGGTAATGAGTGCCTTTATTTTTGAAAAGTGTTACCCCCTCCCTCATTTTCTCCCAATATTTTAAAAAGAGAAATAGTACACGCAGTTTGATTGCCCTGAGCTCTCTGTTCTGTATTCTGGTCCTCAGGAGGAAGTACTCAGTCCTGGTCATAGGTTAGAAATGAGGTCTGATTAATCGCAGACCTCTATCCCTAGCTTCTTTCCAGACCACAGGCACTGTGGGAACATAGCAATCTAGAGTCATCCTGCATCTCTTCCCCAGCAACTGCTCCTTTACCTCCCAGACTCTATTTCTGCCTGTCTCTATCTCTGTGTCTCTTTCTTTCTCTCAATTGTGTCTCTGTCTTTACCATTTCTAGGGCTCTGTTTTTCCTGTCTCTGTATACTTCTACCTTTGTCTCTCTTAATCTCTCTGTCTCTATCTCTGTCTTTGTCTTTCTGTCCACCTCTGCCTTTTCTATCTTTATTTCTCCCTCTGTCTTAGAGGACCTGGGCTAAGTTGAGTTTCCCTTGGTTACTGGGTATGTCCCTTTAACCTACTGACTCTTGTTAATGTCTGTCTTCCTTTTAGACTGTAATTTCCATGGCAATTCCAGAGATGCCTTACAGAATATTTATTCAATAAATTTTGGAGGGAGTAAACTGTTAATTTGACCATATCTGATAACATTTTCAGAACTAGAAGCAACTTTCTAGTGACTTGCCATCCACTTCCATTTACAAATTAAGAATCAAAGTTCTAACTAGTAAAGTAATTTGCTGTCTCTCCGCTCATTGCAAGAATTCCCCAGCCCAGCAGGCTGTGGCTTGCTGACAATTTGTTTCAAAGGAGGTAAAAGGCATGGAAGACATGCATGTGGTCCAAAAACCAGTTTGACAGCTCTAACTTCCTGTTTTCAGGAAAATCCTGCTTCTTCAGCTCTGACCATGGATATTACAGCTTAGGGAGAATTTCCTTATCATGAAAATTATAATGGGGAAAAATAAGAGAATATATGAACTGGCAGTTTTGAACTGTCAGTTGTCAAACTGTGTCCTAGAGATCACACACACACACACACACACACACACACACACACACACACACACACACCACTCTCACACACACACACACACCACTCACACACACACACACACACACACACACCACTCACACACACACACACACACCACTCACACACACACACACACACACACACACACACACACACACACAGAGCCTTCTGAGGGGTGAGGAGGAAATTATAGAAGCTGGGCTTGGATTCTGCCTGCTGTTCAGCAAAGGCAACCCCTCTTTTAGGTTTGGGTATGAGTTCTGGGTAAGCTTGAATTTGAAAGCAAAGCTCCCGTCGCTGAAGTAATGTGTGTAGCCCACAAACACAACCCAGTCCTCTAATTTTAGTGTATGAGAAAATTAAAAGCCAGAGAAAGGGAGCAATTTGCAAGGGAGGCAACGCTAGGATTGAAACGGAGTGCTGGCTGTGTTCTCTCACGTGTCCTAACCCAGCATGCTTCTGTCCAGAGATTCCACTCGTATCATCACACCCACCATAAAGGCAAACGTGTGTGGGACGATCTGGCAGCCTTTTCTCCTCTCTCCTTCTTCCTCTCACTAGCCAGCTGTCTCTATCCGTCTTTCTTTTCTCAGGAAAAGTTCTGTGCTGATCAGATGGTGAGAATAGCAGACCAGCTCATTCCTGGGGGCCATAGGGTATAGAAAAGACAGGTTTCATGTGCTGCTCAGGCTCTCTCTATGAAGGGAAAGTTGTGATTGCTGGAGAAGGACCTTCAGAATTGAGTATACATGTAATTTTATACTCTCTCTCCCTCAGAGACATCAGGAAAGTTTATTCCTCTAAGGACTGATACTACAGTACATGTGTATACCCACCTCTTCTATTTATGAAAATGTTAGCCATAACAAAGTAATTATATTAAAGAGAACTGAGCTAATTGAGTGAACCTGGGAAACTCTAACATGTACTCAGGAACAGACATATTTGTTCAAACACAATGACTCAAGCTTCAAACAAGACAGGAAAAGGTTTGAGTGCCAGAAAGAGAGAACTCAAAATCAGGGCAGTAAGTAGGGCCTGAGGCTTGTGGCTCAGGGGCTTTCTGAACTAGCTGTAGAGCTAATGGTAGGTACCTGTGTATTTAGGGATGTGGAAAGAGGTGTAAGCCACTGTCCTATATCCTGTGTTCAAGGAGATTTTGAAAATATCCTGATAAGAAAAAGACTTTTGTCAGGGTGAACAAATGAAGCAATGGGATTCAGTAGACACTATGCTGAAAATAAACTTTACAACTTATGGGTGGAACTGGGAGGAACAAAAAAACTGGGAGTGAAGAAATGTACTCATTACCTGACTTATGAAACGGTAATCCCTCTGTATATCACCTTTATAATAACAAGAAAAATATTTAATTAAAAACAGATCTCTGTTTTTTTCTTCTTCTTTTTTTTTTTTTTTTGTTTTGGTCGGTTGTGGGGCTTGAACTCTGGTCCTGGCACTGCCCCTGAACTCTTCAGCTCAGTTAGTGCTCTACCATTTGACCTACAGCACCACTTCTGGTTGTCTGATGGTTAATTGAAGATAAGAGTCTCACAGACTTTTCCTGCTCAGGCTGGCTTTGAACTGCAATCCTCAGATCTCAGCCTCCTGAGTAGTTAGGATTACAGGCATGAGCCACCAGTGCCTGGCATTTTTTTTTTTAACAGATCTCTTTGCATTGATGGGGAGATTGGTGTGGGTCTTTCGTTCAAATTGATTCAAGCCAAGAAATTCACTCATAGGCTAAGTGCATCTGACCTCAGCAGAAGCAAAGCTAAAACCATTTTGGAGAGACAATGCCACAAGTCAAAACAAAGCAGCCTTACAGCAAATAACCCTGGTGGAAAACGAACTTAAGACTTACCAGTCCAAAACCACACAAGGGAAAAACCCATCACCAGAGAGAAGTATCAGCAGATGCAAGTAACAGGAGATATGCATGCCATGACCTACAACAGAACATTCCTAAAACTTTTAAAAACAATGTCATAGCCATAGCTTTTAGCCAAACCAGATTAGTGTAACTGGATTGCAGAATCATGAATCATGAGGCAGGCAGATGTTAGAAAGGAAACTCAGAGAGGAGGAAGCAATTTGCTACGTTGCCAATAGGTTAGTGGTAACAACTGAGGAATAGAAACTAAATCTCCAGGTTTCTTAACTAGTTCTGTGTTTTTCATGCCCCACAATGCCCTAATTTTTTCAAGGTAGAAACAAAAGCTAGATTCAAGAGACTAGAAGAAATACAAAACAGAAAGTCTTAAACAGGACCAAGAAAAAAAAAAATCGGGGGCAAGGAACCTGGTTCTGATTTGGCTTTTAAAACAAAATTAAATATGTATTTTGTAAACTACATGTTGAGTCATTATTTTAGAACTGATTCTTATTTGTTAAAAATAGAAGTTTACTGTGGGGCAGGAGGCAATGTTTCACTGGCAACGGTCTCATACAGCCTGTGTTGGCTGGGTCACTTCATTATGTAATCTGTTGCATCCATTTTAATCTCATGTTGTTTTCGTTCATCATGCCCATACAACACATAACCTTGCCAATACGAGGTCATGCTGAAGCCAGGCACTGGTGACTCACACTTGTAATTCTAGATACCCAGGAGACTGAGACCTGAGTATGGTAGATTGAAGCCAGTTTGGGCAGGAAAGTCTTTGAGACTCTTATCTCCAATTAATCAAAAATAACAGCAGCAGCTACAACAACAACAACAAAAGCCAGATGTAGAACTGTGGCTCAAGTGGTAGAGCACTAATCTTAAGTAACACAGCTCAGGGACATTGCCCCGACCCTGAGTTCGAGTCTCAGAACAGCATAGAAAAAAAAGTCATGTTGAATGATTGACCTGGAAACAAAATAAAAATTGATTGAAGTCTCTGTAGGTATATAACATTATACCATCTAGGTTTGTATAAGTACTTAAAATATTTTTGTTATCATGAAGCTGATGTACAGAGTGGTTACCATTTCACAAGTCAGGTAATGAGTACATTTCTTTTTGGGAAAATGTCACTCCTTCCTTCGCTCTCTCCCAGTTTTTCCCTCCTATCCCTATCCACAAGCTGTTTAGTTCATTTTCAACATAGTGTCTAGTGAGTAGCACTGCTGCCCCTGTTCACCCTTTGCTCCTCCATTTCTGTGCCCCCTGAACTGTGCCAAAGACAGATAAATGAACAAATAAGACCAAAGAGAAAAACCCCAGAAAGCAAAAACAGACAATATCATCTTCATCTACAATAGCAGAAAAAAACCCGCCCATTTTATTTTTTCATGCTCACACATGACCGAATGATGCATTTCTAAGATCCCCGTTGTTAAGTTACACTGACTGTAAACCTTTGAAAAGAATTAGGGAGTGAGGGAAAGATGAGGCTTGGACTCCCAACATTAAAGACAAGGAATGAGGTGAGGTGAGTGTGGACATGGTTGTAGGTTCAATCCAGTAGGGCCAGGGCCTGGAGGGCCAGACCAGATATCAATAAGGTCAAAGGAGAAATATCTTTGTGCTTTTGTCATTTATTGATTACATCAGACACTGAGTTTGCACCATTCCCAGTGCACACCAAGAATGTAATTTCAGACCAGAAAAGCAAACTCTTCTCCTATAAGAAATACAAATAGGACCAACAAGGTTCAGCATATGTGCTCACAAGACTCAAAGTAAATTGAAATGGAAGTTGTACAATAATGTTGTCTGAGCTTGAATTTCTAACCAATCACCGTTGGCTTTTCCAGGGAAGTGAGTCTGACATTTTGTCAGATTTGTCTGGTGTCTTAACCTCTTTACTCACTTATTCTAGGCCAATATTGGCTGAATATTTGCCATATGCCAAGCATTGTGCAATACTTAACGAACTAAATGAGTCGAAGAAAAAGTGGATTAGCACACAGCACCATAAATGAAAGGAATGCTGCTGGAGCACACAAAAGGGCCATTGTATTATTAGCGAGTGCTCTATGTTATGATTTTGTTAGGAGGGACAATTCCAGACCAGTGAATATAAAAAAGTGAAAGGAGCATGGAAGAGGATGAAGCGAACCTAAAGAGGAGTATTACTGAGCTCATTACAGCTCGGTACAAAACTGCAGGCAATTGCTTAATCATGTAAGTATCTGCAAGCAGAGTGCCTGAAACCATCAGGCCTCAGAACAGTGCACGGGAGAGAGATGAAATATGAATTCCACTTGTATCTTGTCTCTAATTTGTTCATGTTCACTGCCATGATCTTCTGCACTTCTGGTGTGTGCAGCTACTGACCAGCTACTGGAAAAAGAGATGTCACATGCAGTGGCTTGATGCTTTACGGAGTACGGAACAGGTGGGAGACACCAGAGTCATACTTTGAGGCCATTCATTCAGGTTTAGGATTTCCAGGTTAAAATACAGCATGCTTACTACATTTGAATTTGTTTTGGTAAATGATGAGTACATTTTTTATTATAAGTAGTCTCTAAATGTTGCATGGGACATGTTTGTATTCTTTTTCATTATGTGATATTGGAATTGAATTTGTTGTCCTGTGTTTGTTAGATCTTGTGACTTCACTCTGGTTGGGCTTGAATAGGGTGATGGTAGATGAAGACCACAAGAAAGTACAGCCTCTTTCCTGGGGCAGGGTGTGTGTGTGTGTGTGTGTATGTGTGTGTGTGTGTGTGTGTGAGAGAGAGAGAGAGAGAGAGAGAGAGAGAGAGAGAGAGAGAAAGAGAGAGATTTAAGAAGTCTGTCCACTCCATTCTAAAGCAGTGAATTCTTCAATAATGAAAGCAATGGCTTCCCATTTAACCTGTGTCGTGAACCTAGCCAGCATGACAACCACATGGCTTTTCTCAGGAGATGCATGCCATGGTTTAGAATGTAAATAGAAACTATACAAGTTTTCCTTCTGATTCAATATGGCTTCCCACATAAAATTCATGAGATGTTCTAACATGGCCATTTCCTATTCCCATCTTCAAAGGATGAGCTACAGCATCAGTCTGGGAATTGCACCGCCAGCTCAGCAAAGCAGAGAGCTGATATAGACTTGAGTATCTGCCTATGCCATATTGAGCTTTCCAAGGATGCTGACAGTCAATCCTCTTAGCAATTTCATCTGTACATGGCAACTGCTTCTACATAGTGGAGGAAATCGCTATTGTTTATTTCATAGTTGGAGAAGTGAAAGAGAGAGCTTTTCCAGAGTTAAATATGGAACCAGGACATTGCTTTCAATCTGAAACCTCTGTTTCATATCCATAATTGTTAATCTAGCAACTGAGCAATTTGTATGACTATGAGAATCAGGACAAAATCTGAGGACCAAATAGGCCTACAACCCAGTCCAGATTCTTTTTTTTTTTAAATCTTTAAGTAATTGTACAAAGGAGTTGCCATTTACAAAAGAGGTTTATGAATACAAAATGCATCTTAATCAATGCAGATTCTTAATCTCATTGTTTAGATTATGAAAGAAATAGAGACCTCAAGTCCATGAGGACTTGAGATGGAAGAGCTCATGTGGTTTTTATTTTAACTTATTCATCATAATTCCAAGTGAAAATTGATAACTGACTTTGCTTCAGCCGAGAGTCTATCTGAAGATCCAGTGGTAGAAGAAAGATTTTATATGACACTGTGGGGTTTTGGGGTTTCTTTGGTTGTATTACACAACAGTGAAACCAGTTTAGACATATGAAATCTGTCAACAGTGAACCCAGACACGCTGGTTAAACATTTCTTTTGGTCAAATCCCTCAAAGAGGAAGTCACAATGTGAAGACTGAGAAATGAGGCCATTGGGCACAACGGTTCTCCATGTTAAGTTCTCCTTCAGCTGAAGGAGAAGCAC